GAGAGAGAGAGAGAGAGAGAGAGAGAGAGAGAGAGAGAGAGAGAGAGAGAGAGAGAGAGAGAGAGAGAGAGAGAGAGAGAGCAGACAAAGGCCCCATTTCACATAAATCAGAGGGCCCCTGCAAGAAATCGGAGGGGTCGCTCCAGTAAGTCAGCAAGGTCCTATCACCAAGCACGGATGGGCGCCAAATATCCAAGAGCATGAGCGGACCGAGAATATGTAGTCTGGATTCGAATTCAGATCTTTGTTTCAGCAGTTACGGGTTACTAACTTAGCTAGGCCCTGTTGGTCCTATCACTTAGCTTGGAAGTGCGGCAGAGATACCCATACTTGGGATGTTTTCAAAGGACCAAAAATAAGGACACAATTTGGACCACAGATGAGCTGACCTTTCAAACAGGCCAGGATTCTCAGTCCTGGTCATGCCGAAAGCAGAAGATGGCCTCGATAACTGGCGGGCTCAATCGAAACGACCAAAATACGATGATCCGGTCCGGCCGTATTCCCATCCAGGTTCTTACTCTGAGGCGGGACTTTGGTGTGAAAGGGTTTTCCGATCGGTTCTTCACCAAAGATCTCTCGAACTTCACCCGAACTTCGCGCGGAACTGCAGCGATGTTTGGGCCTCGAGAGCCACTTTGTTGTGCGATGGTTTGCAGTAGGCATATGCTTTTACACAAAAGTCGTAGCCACTTTGTTGTGCGATGGTTTGCAGTAGGCATATGCTTTTACACATAAGTCGTAGCTATATATAGTTTTTTTCGTCGTAGCTCGCGTCCTCTTATGATGGCATGGTTCTAGGTAACTCCTGGAAGGGAAGGTGGAAACGGCCTGGTTTCAGTGTTCGGGTTGGAGGACGGCGGAGAGGAGAAGGGTTCTCGAGCTGTCGCCAATCGCGCCCTCTTGGATTAACTTACCTCATTTTCATGCTCATAGATTGTTGGACGAGACTTGTGCGATCGTGTTGCGTGTGCAAGTATGTGTGGGCATGTACGCGAATGCTTGCGATTGTGAACGTGTGTACTTCACTCGCCCTTGAGCTAGGCTGCTGGCCCTGAAGTTGCACAATTTGAAGTTCCACAACTTGGAAATCCCACAAGGACAATAGATCTGGTGCTTACCAGACCCAGGGAACCACTCCCCAGAAGATAAAATGTGAAAAGAGGATAGGCAGTTGCAAATCCAAGGGTCAAGAAAGTGAGCGCAGTAACATACAACTCCTTGGCAGATAGTAGATAGCTACTGCAATGGGAAGGATTTGTTTTTACTTGCTTTTTTTTTGGTGATCAGGTGGACCACAGATCAGATATAGAACTGATAAGAAGAGATACTACACTTAATCTTCTTAGCCAGAAGGTCGAGAAAGGTATTGATTGAATGGGAAGGAAGACCTCCAAATAAATAGTGAGTTTGGATACAATCAGGGGAGGGGACGAAGGATTGGTGAGGGCAGCAGGAAGCAAACGGATTTCACAAGACAAATAGTCAAAGTCGAGGAGTCAATTTTTTGCGCACTGAAGCTACGACCCACCCTGGGTACACTGACCGCCCCCACACCCCCCCTGCATTGCAGCACAGAGCACCATTATGGAGCAAAATTTTCCCCGACTTGGACTGGAGGTCAGGCCTCTCCTGCCACCGTGGCACTCACTCATTCCTCGCTTACCACCCAGCACATACCCCCGACTGGGCTATAGGTTTTCCAACCCACGCTTGACACTATACTCGCCTGTCTGTTCTTTCCTCACCTTTTGACTACATCCCAAAGGCCGTCCGATGCCAAAATAACAAATTCATCATCCTCACTCAGATCAATGTACGAAATCTCCGGCTCTGCTGTCAGCCATTCGCCTCTCATGTTCAACCTGCATAATGTTAAAGTCAAAATCAATCATTAGAGTTAAGCCTGCAAATCAGTTTCAAATTCACCTCTCCACTCTGAATCTGCAAATCATAACCAACTGCAAGCCAGCAGTGTCTCTCTCTCTCTCTCTCTCTCTCTCTCTCTCTCTCTCTCTCTCTCTCTCTCTCT